GATTTCGGTTTAGCTGACACAGCTTTCGCAGAAATCTCGATGTAGTCGTTTTCGTCGACAAAAGGAATAGCAAAATCGCTCTCCGCGTCTTCCCCCATTTTGTTCTGCGTCATTTCGTGAAGGACGCGTGGCTCTCAGCGTGGGTCATCCACGCGGAACACATTCGCGCTATGTGATTGGCTGTTGTCTAATCCCTCTTGAGATCTGTGGTGTTAAAAATAACTCGCGACGAATTACCTATGGAATAGGGTGTATATGGGGGATGCCCTCTCTGTCCCCTTTATAGTCTCTTGTCTGTACTTTATACTCCCAAAGTTGTACAATAATTTAATTCATAAAATGGTAGTTTAAATAATTTTTATTGTTCTTGGAAATAACAAAGTATGTTTAACAAAATTGTTTTGTCTTTAGTTAATATTGCTTATGTACCTATAAAATTGAGCTTAAATATTAAACAACAACAAGGAGTCAACAAAGGTCCTGAGGGATAATGACCATGAAAATAAGTCAAACAAACCTTTCCGAGTCGTTGATGTGGTTTAATGAAAATATCAGAGAAAACAGTATATAGACTGAGAGAGAGCATGAAATTAGGAGAGCAGCAATTCCGGCGTGACAATACCCCATATCATGAGCTTCATAATTATGCTCTTTCAGTTGATGGAATTTGATTTTCAACAACCTACAACCAGCTGACAATGTATCTGTATACAGTGGAGAAGGTTTCTTTCCTCGGCAAATCTTTAGCGGGGAACTTGGAACAAGTAACATCTTAGAAATTTAATTTATTAAATTCCTCTTTCGATTAGCAAATAAAAACTACTTCCTGGTTCCTGGTGGATCACTAAGAAACACCTTTAAGGGTCCGTTTAAGCAAGGCAAACATTCTCTGAACAAACCATCTAAGTTAAGGATAGGTGATGATGAGAGGAAGAGTTTTAAAACCTGACCCTGTACATGTGTTGTAAGGGAATTTAAATTTGAAAAAATTACACCCCATTGAATTCACTGTTTACTTTTAGCGATTCAGCAACTGAACTTTGACGGATTTGCAACAGCGCCCGTTTGGTTTCAAATCTACGCATGCGAGTGGGAACTTAAGCGATGGCATTTTTGAGCGACCCACGTCAACCGGAAATGGATTTTCTGCGTTAATAGAAAGTGGTTTTGCTAAAGTTTCGGGCAGGTCGTTCCTACTAAGTTAAAGATACTAAGCGATACAAATTTAGTAGCGTCAATGTATAATAAAAAGGAAAAGGCATCACTTCCGGTTGACGTAGGGAGCTTAAGCAACATCGTTTTTGGGCGACGGACGTCAACCGGAAGTGGGCTTTTTGCATCATTGGGCAGTGGTTTGGTTCAAACTCTCGGGTAAATCCTCTTGACAAGAGAAAAGAAACTTAGCAATACAAATTTGTTAGAGTCAAGGCATATATATATAGGGAGAAGGCCTCACTTCCGGTTGACGTGCGTCGCTCAAAAAACGTCTTTGCTTAAGCTCCTGTTAAACGCCTGGTTAGTTGAGTTGGAAAAGCGCTGGCCTGCCGAGCGAAAGGTCGTGGGCAAACCCAAAAGCTTAATCCGGCTACGTACGGAAAGTAAAGCCCAACAATCAAGCATGATAAGTAATAGAAGCGATACAGAGACTTTTAAAATAAAACTGGGGCAATCTTAAATTCCTTTTCCTCAGTAAAGAAATCGAGAAATCTGCGGCAACTGTTCAAGTATATGCATGCAGGTATATATCTTGTTTAACACGGCCTTTTTCCCCAATCTTCGATCACCCTATAGACAATATCATCTCACAGAGACTGCCCTGCTTATGGTAACAAATGTTATTTTGAAAACTCTTCATTTGAGCACTTGTAATGCTTCATCTTTCAGACGGTACCCTTCGGAAATGTGTCGAGTGTATTATTTCATATAAAGTGATAACATGCCCAACAGTAATCCTGGAAAAGCTGAAGTGCTAAATTTCACATCGCAGTTTACAAGGCAACCATCTTTTGGTGAAAG